GATGGGGGGTGGCAAGCGGGGCTGTGCGCGGTCTCCATGTGCTCCCTCCTTCTTCCCGCAGTGAACGGGCTCCAGGCTCGGACCTTTGGCGTCTGGACCCTGCTGTCATCAGTGATCCGCTGTCTCTGCGCCGTTGACATCCGCAACAGGACGTACGTAAAGTGCAACCACCGGTGCACTTACACCGGTGCAATCCTGTGGTTGGCTCACTAGTCACAACCGGAGCAGCTGGTGTAGAGGGCAGCGCGGAGGAGGGGGGATCAGAAGCTCTTCCTGAACTTTCTGTAGGGCTAAAAAGCTTAAGTAGCAGTGCAGGATTTGTGCGTCAACTGCTGCTCCCTTCTGCTTCCGTGGGGAGCGCCTGCACATTTGAGTTCTGTTTCTTACCTTAGGCAGAAGTTGGTAGATCTGAGAACTTCTTACGTCACAAATTTCTGAGCTCCAGTTTGGAAAGCATCTTCTGATGGCATTGCTGCTGTTGACAGTAAGCAATGGTTAATGCTGTGGTCTGATGCTCAGTACTTCTTTTCCTACAACAGCGTAGCTAAAGATGGTGGCAGGTTGAGAGGCTCCTCGCAGTGGTCCTAACCCGCTGCCTTCTTCCCTACCCTCTTCCCTGGGGCGGAGGACAAGGCCTGAGGTGTAGCCTGATGCAGAGACAGGCCATTTCTCCCTCTGGTAACAGATGTATTTCTACGAGGGATTTCCAAGCAGGGTGACTGGGTCTGTGCTAGACAAAGTCAGCGCTGGAGGTTGCTAGAACTCACTTTTGTCACCACGTCCCTCAGCCCTGCAGCAGAAGTCACTGTTCACCTGACAGCATGTCCTTGGATTGCCCAGGCTTGTCTGTGGTGGGAATCAATTATCTGTTTTTTAGCGGGGGGGTGGCAATGCCAATCACCATGAAGACAGTGGTTTCTTAGAAGGATTTTTTTATTTTGCATCTCTTGGAGCTGCTCCCTTTCCACAGCTGTGGCCCCTAGAGGGTAGCAGAGCACAGGTGGGAAGGTGTGTTAGGTGATAAAGCCTGGAGTCTGCCAATTCCGGTTGCCCTAGTTCTCCCTCTCATCCATTTCTCGCCCTCTTTTTCAGTGTGTACGTGCTTTTCCCTTCACCTGTGCCCCTACCCTTCCTCTCCCCTCTTCACCTGCCTTCAGGCCAGATAGTGCCTGTGGCTTTCAGTGCACCACTGAACACTGCCCCCTTCATGGCTGTTGCCCAGGGAGCTTTTGTACCTCACCAGGGCAAGAGACTGAGTGCCCTCTGTGGTGCCACAGTGAGGACAGACAGGGCAGCATGCAGGTTTGCTCTTTTCCACTCAGCCATGCTCGTGCCCATGCCATGGGCTGTACGATAACCTGCTTCTCTCTTCTCTCCAACAGCCTCTACTACATCACGCTCTTCACCTTCTTTTTGGCCCTTGTTCACTTCCTCTCCGAGGTCTTCATTTATCGCACTGCAGCCTTGACAATTGGAGTTATGGCACCCCTCATGGTAGCAAGTAAGTAGAGCTCTGCATCTTCCCCCACAAACTCTCCTTGGAACTATGACCCCCCAGAAAACCTCTCCGTGGGCCTATGAGATAAGGGCAGGGAGAGGATGGTGGGAAGGGAGTGCCTCATCTCCTGTCCAGCATTTTCCACACAACTCATCCCATGTCTCTGTCACAGGTTTCTCCATTATGGGAATGTTGATTGGGCTGCAGTACCTGGAGGTAGAAGCACTGTCACAAAACAAGAAGAAAAACTGAAGCCGAGGGCCCTGTGTAGGTCAATGTTGTCTCTTCACTGCCGAACTTCCACTAAAGCTCGTCTGAACTTCTCCAGGACACCAGTCCTAGTGGTGGATCAGTGTTGGACTCTGTCAATCATTCTTCATTCCCAAGTGTTTTCTTGTTCAGGCAGAATTTCAACTGCCTGATGTCAAAGACCACATCCCAGAGGAGTTTGTGTCAAAGCCTGTGGGGGCAGTTGGTGACTGTCTCCCCGGAGGACAGCAGGGAAGGGCTCAGGCGTGCCCAACGTGCTAAGGACTTCTCTCCCGGTGTACCTGTGGGGAGGAGGCGTAGAGCTGCCCGGGATCCAGTGAACGCTTCGGACCAGAAATGAGAACGCGTGCTGCCCCTGGCACGGCTGTGTAACTTGCATGTGTGTGTTCCTCAGGGGCCATTTCTAATAAATGACAGAAAACTGCAGGGTGCCATGTCTGTCTTTCTGCAATGCAGCAGCAGGTAGAGATGTACAACCTCAGGGCAAACAGCAGTTTCTACCGTATGATGCAGCGTAAATCATCTCTACAGCCAACCTGCATTTCCCTGACTCCTACCCACAAAGTTCCAGGTCTGGGAGGTCACATCACACGCATACGGAGGGAGTTGTTGCAGCTCTTGCTTCTGCAGCATGTTGGTGGCAGCAAACTGCCTGTGAGCAAGGCCTGAGCTACCTCTGCTGTGAGCTGGAGCTACAGAAGACGGAGGAAACAGGAACAGGTTGCTTAGACCTAGATGAAATAATTCCCAAAGCAGATGGGCAGTGCACAAAAGGTGGGAAGGAATCAGCAGGATCTCCTGGCTGGGAAGACGCATGTGCAGAACAAAGAGAGGAAAAATACAGGAGGGAGGGAAAAAGCACAACAGTAGCACTGGGCAGAAAGATTATTTTTCCATTCTGCAAAATAATCCAGGCTATTAGAAGACTGTTTTAACCATTTAATATGAATCTGTCAGCTCTCATTTTACACTTCAAATGTTTTTATTTTACATAAATCTGTCTATTGAAAAGCCATTTTAGACCCCCATCCTCAATCCCAAACTATCAAACATAAGACTTGAATTTTTAATGTGTCAAAAGACCATATAATTTCACCCAAAACAATGTTGTCAAAAATGGTATGTCAGAGAGAACACTGGTTTTATCCATTTCACCTTGTGGTTTTTCTCCTTCCCTCCCCCCCCCTAAAATGATGTAAGGAGTATAAGGACACATGATGTCTCCACCAGTGGAGGGATGTTGGAAAGGAAGGAGAAGGGATATAAGGATCGACATTTGTGTTTAGAGGATAAACAGCAGCATACAGAGAGGTGGTGTCTACAAGACACAAGTGCTGGTAAGAAGGCTTCTGTTCTCTGTTACAAAGTGGAAAGCTTCCCCATTGGAGCAAATCCTGTTTTCCATCACACTCAAACCCCTCCCTGTGGCTGTGAGGAGCAACACAGCCTTGGCTGGTTATCAGTATCTTCACAGAAGTTTTTAGGTAGTGTTGAAATTTAGAAAAGGCACTTTGTCATCAAGGAGGAAGACATAGTCCTCAGCCCAGGCAGCTTGTGCTTTGACTCCTGTTGCTAGCACAGTCATGAGCTGGGCTTAGGTTGCAGCTTCAGTATAAGCTGGAGAACTAGTCCTTGCCTCGAGGTAGGAGGCATATTGGTATCTCTTAATTACTCATAATATATAGGAACATCAGGGCAACCTATGAATTCTGAGCAGAGGTTTATCCACAGACCGAGTGCTTTGTCTGGGACAGCCACGCAATAAACCCAGAGCCGGCAGCAGCACCCGCACTGCTTTGCAGTCGGTGGTGATGTGCTGAGGCCTCTGCTGTTACCTGTGCAACAGGGAGCACCACAGGCACCAAGGCAGAGCAATCTCTCTTCCTGAGAGCCAGCTGAAAGCTCTTCCAGGCTGCTCACAGCTCAGCTGTGGTCCAGCTTCTCCATTTCATGCCACAGTTTGCCTGCAAGAGGAGACACAGCCACGTGCAGGGTGCTACCCCCATGTGCTCAGGGATAACCTGGAATTACAGCTTTTCTCACCATGTGTGCTTTTTCTTCTCTAAGCACACATGGTAGGATATGGGGGAAGCAGTGGGTTTGCCAATATTTCACCAAAACAGCGAGGTGCAGAGGTATAACTGAAGAGGGCAGCTCCCTTCTTGTTTTGCTCTTTCACACACTCCACAAGCAGTTCACTGGGCTCCTGCCCTGACGCTGCCCCCACTGCCATGGTGCACATGTAACAGGAGGGCAACGTAGGTAGCAAAGATGGGAATGAGGGGGGCTGCATCTCCCATCTCTGCCACCCCTCCATTTCACAGCTTTGATTCCTGAAGAACTATGGGTTCAGTGCAGGCTTCTGGCATCACTTTCTGCAAGTCAGAGAAGAACAATGTGGTTACAGTCCTGGGTGGCCAGACCCAGGCTTCAGAGAGACCAGCTGGCCAGAAGCTGGCTAATTCACAGCTACTGCTAGTGTGCTGGAATCCCCAAAGAAGAATCACCATCCTCAGAGTGCACCTGGTTCCCTCCTCCTTCTCCAGACCCTTCTACTGCCCAGGCAAGGGGCGGTGAGGCACAGGGCAGAGCAAGGGTCCCACTTCCCCTGAGCTGCTTGCTGCAGCCCTCAGACCAGTTAGTTCACAGAGGCTGTATAGGCCCAGGTGTCAGCGCCACAGCCAGCTCACTGAAGACATTTCACTGTGACACAAGATCACACTTGAAGCGGTGAAGCTGCAGGGCCAGTTCCCTGGGCAAGGGAAGGAACTGGGAACTCCTCCATCATGCCATGGGGCAGTGTGGCATCTGTGCAAGCACCAGAGCAAACCTGCAGCCTGGGCACCTGGAGGCGGCTCAGCACTGCAACTAGCTCCTCTCTGTCCTTACTTTGGCATGTCTGAGAGCCTCTTCAACTCCCAGATAGATTGGTGGTTCTGCTCATCTTCAAGTCTTTCCATTCCCACCCCCCATTCAGGGATGGGACCCTCTGCTGCTGCTTCTTCCCTGTCCTCAGCTTGGACTTAGAGCTGGGATAATTCCACAGAGTGGTATTTCAAAGGCTTTCTTCAAAGTTCATTACTCGTATCTTAGAGAGCTGTAAGAAATAAGAGGTGAGCATAATACAAAGGGGTTTTCTTCCTGCATAAATCCTGTAGAATAATTAGCCTGATTACTTAAACCCTCCTACAATTTCTTCCCCTGATGTGGAGGGAGCTTTAAAGTCATTTCCCAGGGGAAAAGCAAGGACAACTGAGACTGCTGCCCAGTTACCACCCTATCCTGGGCCGCATGAAACAACCAAATTTTTGCAAATCCCCTTCAGCCTTCCTGGGTGGAGCTTGATAAGCTCCGCCGCTGAGCCTTTCTGGGGTGTGTTAGGATTAGACCTGAGCCTTCTTTCCCCAGGGGATTTCAGATACCTCTCCAAGTTCTGACTCCACTCGCAGCAAGACACCCCAGTTGTCACCAATTCAGAAGACAGTAAGGATAAATGTGGAGTCTCCCACAGCCTGGGCTCTGCTTTAACTCACTGTGGGGCAAGACTGGCATCTGAGGCAGGAGGCAGAGGTACATGGGAAAGTTTCACATCCCCAGTGCTGTTCAAGAGAAGTCCAGGCAGCATGGAAGCAAGAGATAAGAAAGTTTCATGTTGAGTAGCCTCTTACACAAACTGCAGGTGAAAAGGTTTTAGGGAGGTCAGCAGCAATATCCCAAAGCAGAGGAGTGAGATCAGGAAAGCCTCAGAGATGGCAGGAAGCAAAAGAGGGAGCTCCTACCAGCAGGAGGGGTAGGAGTGTGCATGAAGTAGTGCCAGAGGTAGGAGTAAGGGGAAAGCTGCATTTCAGCCTGGGAAACCCCAGAATGCATCCAAGAAGCACACTGGCAGCTCTGAGCAGGCTCCCCAAGCACCTCTGGGAGCAAACATCACTCACCTGCTGTGGAGCTACAGGAACAGAGGTTTAGGAGATCAACCAGCCTGCAGGGCTCCACCGCCTTGGGAAAGGAGGCTGCTCTCACATCTGGAGTCAGTACTGGGCAAGAGCATGCAGACAGCCTGCCCGTGGCTTTGGATAGGAGAGAAGGCTGCTTGCCACACAGTAAGCACTGAAAGGGAGCAGGGAAGTTTGGGAAGCAGGGGATGGGGCACACACTGTTTGCGCCAACTATGCAAAATTCCAGCAGGTTTTTTTTTTTACTGGCAATGTTTCACTAGTGAGTAAGCATGCTACAGCTTGCAAGGAACTCCAGTACACTACTGAGGTTGGATGCTTGCCCTAATGCCCTAAGCCAGCCCCTAAATGGCACTGGCCTTGGGTAGAAAAAGCAACATGCCTTTGGGTATCCCACTGAGATCCATCAGATGTATCTTCGCATTCAGGCTAACATATGACCAGCAAAAAAAAAACCACAAACCAAAACCAAGGTACTTGGCCCTGATCAAGTCCTGACTTACCCAGAACATAGTTTGAGGACACAGTAGAACTTTAGACCTGTTTTAAACAATTCCCTCACTGTGACTGTACAGCTAGAGCACGTCACCAGTCATCCAAAATCATCCACTCATCAGTGCTCAGCCCTGCTGGTAGTATAACACACCAGAGAAAAGTTTTTAATTTTATGAAAATTCAAAAACCAGGACAAAGTCTGAAACCACTTTAGTCCCTGCTCTTGGCTGTCAAGGACAGGTTCTTCACACACATAAAATTCCATTTATCTACCACTACACAAGACCGGCACCAAGTAGTCCCAAGTGCCCTGAACACACATTAATCAAATGTGCAAGTTTCAAAGAGGCCTGGAAAAGCACAGTTTGAACGAGAAGACAGTCCGGCTCTTTTGGAATCCTGTGTCCACATGATAGCTACCTTCTTAAAAACCCACACAGGCTTTAAAGTATTTCCAAAGAAATGTTGTCTAAGATTTTTCTTGAACAATTCACTCCTGAGTCGAAACAAACTATGGAAAAAAATCAGCAGAGATGCTTATTTCATAATGCAAAGAAGCCACATGTGGATGCTGGAAAGCTGGAACAGATGAGCACAGGCTGTACACAGCATATACATGAGTACAATGTGTATGCTGCATCAACTGACACTACTCCGGAACGTTGCAATGGCTTCAGGTGCCCTTACAACAAAGGCAGGCCACAGCGAGACTCATGATCCTGTAAAACGGGTGTTTGAGCCAAGTGTCCCCAGAGCCAGAAAACTGGAGCTCTGGGATCTGAGGTACACAGAAGCAGGAGGGTTGTTGGAACCACGCTGCAGCTTTATTAATAGAGGACAAGGTGTCCACAATGCCATTAGGCTAATTTAGTTCCCATTACAAGTTCTGGTAATTGCAACATCTGTTTAATTATAACTGTAAGCAGATAAGGGCACCGACAGCAGACAAACTGCTGGAGAACACAAGGCAGGTCCTGCAGGAAGAAGGGAAAACACCCTGCAGTGTGGACACAGTGGCTGAAAGCTCTGACAGGTAGCTGCTGAGAGGCTGGTTCCTGGGCAGAGTCAAGGCTGATAAACCCTGACTCTTGTCACTGAATTTATGACTTTATATGTTGCTCTTCTCCCTGCAAGGCCAACAGCTCAGCCAGATTCTAGGCTTTCCATTTCATCACCAGAAGCCACTGCAAGGCAAAAATGGAAGATCTTACCCTGTGAGAATCAGAATGTAGGTGTTTTTCCTTGTGTGTTCCTTAATACACTGGGAAATCAGGCTGTTCCACAGTCCTATACTGCACCAAAGCCACTCAACAGCCGAACATCCAGGTAAAGGTTTTGATAGTTTTCCATCAGACCATTTCTATTTCTACCATCAGGAACAATCACACCTTATTAGGCCAATACTCTGGATGATAAGCCCCCAGAGAAAACAGTAAGCCAGCTGCCTACCTGCACCATGGGACTGCACCTCCATTGGGTCAAGACAGGGGAAGACCTACTGTCATTGAAAGGGCTACACAGCCAGTGTCCCAGTGTTTCAGTGGGAAGGGTGAGGCCTGCACAGCTCCACAGCTCGGCATCCTCTGGAAGCTCACATCTGACTCTGTGTCAATCTTCTCCTTGCAACAGCCACAGAATCACAGAATTGTTTAGGCTGGAAAAAGAACTTTAAGATCAAGTCCAATCATGTCCCAAAGTGCCATGTCTACACATGTTTTAAATACTCAACCCCTTCCCGGGCCAGCCTGTTCCAGTGCCTGACAACCCTTTTGGTGAAAGATTTTTTCCTAATATCCAATCTAAACCTCCCATGGCACAACTTGAGGCCATTTCCTCTTGTCCTGTCACTTGTCACTTGGGAGAAGAGAGCAACACCCACCTCTCTGCAACCTCCTGTCAGGTAGCTGTAGAGAGCAATAAGGTCTCCTCTCAGCCTCCTCTTCTCCAGGCTAAACAGCCCCAGCTCCCTCAGCTGCTCCTCACAGGACTTGTGCTCCAGACCCTTCCCCAGCTAATGTATTTATAGAAACCCTTTTTTATTATCTTTTCTGGCAGTAGCCAGGTTAAATTCTAGTTGGGCTTCAGCCCTTCGAATTTTCTTCCTGCATAACCTCACAAAATCCTTGTAGTCCCCTCCTGAGTTGTGTGCCCCTTCTTCCAAAGGTCCATAAGGCTGCTAGGCCTTTAAGATTTCCTTCTTGATGAAGGACTCCTGTGCCCCTCAGGACTGCTTCCCAAGGGACTCTGTCTACCAGGCTCCTAAATCAGTCTCCTGTGACAATGACCTGTCTTTTTTTTTCGAAGCAGTTTTGACAGAGAGCATATACAGCAACATGTCTGAGCCTTGCAGCGTCTATTCTGCAACTGGGATGTCAGTGGTAACACTGGCAATTGTACCAAGCTAGGACTGCTAACAAAGGCAATGTCAAACTTCATCCAACAAAAGAGTACCAGTATATCCCAAGCACGTGTGCCCAGCTCAGGCAGCTCCAGCTTCTCAACTCCTTGGCCTCAAATCAACACCACACCTGTTAAAACTGCCATGGACTGCAGCATGGAAACAGCTTCAGAGGCAGTCAGCCTGGAGTCAATCTTTCCCCGCCCATGGGACACTTCTTCACACTTCAATCAGAGCGTGGCAGCTTCACACTTGCTGTAGCACATGCTCTAGTCTTAGCAGGATTAAAGCTGGTTTTCCCAATAGGCTCCCTCTGCTTTTGCCTGTTATTTCTCTTGGCTGTGACACTAAGTGATACACACACTCAATGAACACCTTGAAAAGCAGAGTAGCACGGTTAACTTGGCAGATCAGCCAGTTGGTGCGAAGCAGAGGACAGTGCGTAAAGAAGCGCTACACCCCAAGCAACAGCTGAGAAAGTGACAAATGCCACTGAGATTCACAGATCAGCAAGCACAGAGCTTGGCAATTTTCAGTGATTCATATACCAAAAGGCACCAACCCAATGACTCTGCTATTGCTAAATATTTTTAAAGTTCCTTCTTGAAGCTAGCCATGCACCCTGGCTCTGATCAAAGCCAACTCTTCTATAGGATTCCTGGTATCACTTCCAGCCAAGAATCCGGACTGTAAAAGTAATGTCAGAGAAGAGTCTCCAAATGCTAGCACCTTCTCTCCACAGTAACTTACTGACAATTCAGTTCTCTATCTGTTCCAGCACCAGACTTTGCCTTGCTGCACCTAGTGGAATCCCTACGCCCCTATCTGAAATGAGTCTGGTGGGATCTCCACTCTGATCTGGAAAGCTGTCTGTCTTTCCTCTCAGGTGAGTACCCAAGGAGGCCAGAAAGGTTCTTGGTACTCTGCGGCCATTGCTGTCACCCCAAAAGTGCCATTGGCTTGGTGCCCGTGCCACCTGTGAGTGTTCAGAGAAGCAGATTAGTGTGATTTTCCTACCTTTGTGTATGAGCTAGTGAGAAGGAATGGGAATTGATGGGGTTAGGGTTACAAGCTACAGTCCCATAATCCGTGATTTGATTGCTGCCTTGGAGTCTCTGTAACAACAGCCACAAGTCACCGTTCCAGAAAAGATGGAGGGAAGAAAATGAAAAGGGAGGAAATAAAAAGAGAGGAACAGGCAAAGGAAGAAACCAGTAAAATTACCCAAGCATGTGTAAGGCAGCTGTGCCACGTAGAAAAGCTCCAGTACCTGACTCAGCCAGAGCTCCCTCTCCAAAAAGGGACCACACAGTGCCCATTCCCAGCCAGCTGCTCCCCTGACTGAGGCATCCATGTTAGCACGGAACACCAGGGTCAGCCCACCCTCAGTTGGCCGAGCACCTGGGGTTGTTTGCTAAGCTTGAGAAGTACCCAGGTGAGCTCAGGATGTGGAGGGTCACTTGGGGGTGCAGTGGGGTGTCTATCGTGACTTCCTCAGAGCATGATGCCTCAGGGGGAACGAGTTACCAACGAAGTTTTTGACTGACTGAGACCCATCACCTCACACACATCCCTCTGGTTCTTACTGCAATGAGTTCTGGAGGCTTTTAGGATTACAGAAATTACATCTGTACCACCTCTGGCCTCAATGCCCTCCCCGCTCCAGCAGCCAGCTCTTGCAGTTGTGTTTATACTAAAAATGGCTTAAGCAAAAATGTACTATTCATCTGGTGAGAGAAGGGCCTGGCAAAGGGAAAGGACTTTACTACTACCAGGCACCTTGTTTGCTGCCAAAGGACCTTGGTATTTCCTTGGCCTTCCAAATGAATGAATTAACTCACAGTGGAACCAGCACCTCTCATGACAACCCTGCTGCCTCAGGGCTTGTGGAGGATGGTTTGGCCTTGCAATTCATCTTCTGCCTTTGATTTCAGCACTGTTAATCAATGGATATAAGTAGTTTGGTGTATATCAGAACAGACTGGTCTTTACCCCAGCTCAGCTTAGTTGTGTTCTAGTTAGCCTCATTACACCAGGATTCTGGGAGAGCAGTTGTCTTCTAGCTTGGTCCCATAGACCATGCTGCTCACCGCTGCTAAAATCAGCCAAAGTTTTAAGTCTCAGAGCAGAAAAAAGCCAGGAATTCTTTTTAAGTTATGACAATGGGAAAGGATTCCTTTACCCAAACTAGATAAGTTGTACAGCCTTTCCCCTCCCCACTGATGACATCAAGTGCCTTTACTTCCCCTATCCTCTTCATTTGTGCTCAGACACCTCAGTAACAATAAATAAAAGAAAAAAGATGTATTTTGTAATTGAAATTCCACCTCCCTGAGCAGCCAGCCAGAGCAGAGCTGCTTCTTGGACCTTCTGGTCTCTCTCCAGATCACACTGGTTAGATTATCTGGAGGAAGGCAGCACTGTCTTCTGGAAAGAGCTGACTCAAGCCAGCAGAGAACTGAGCTTATGCACTTTGCTAATCACGGTCGCTGACGGCTTCGTAAACATCGAGTGGATGTCTGTGCTAACGTCCTAGAAGAGGAGCCCAGAGCAATAAAGAAAAGAGCCTCAACCAACCACCAGTTCCCTATCTTTCCCTGCAGGGAAAGTTTCTGAGAGTATCCACTATGATCAGTTCACCAGGAGGCCCTCTCCCACATATAAACATCTGCATTCATTGCACAGCACGCCACAGGGACATTATACCCCGAGCTCTGGTGCACACATATGAACTAGCAGCCTTGTCTGCAGCACTGAGCAAAGTGTGGGAAGCCAGGCTGCTCCAGCCCTCGTTTGGGCTTTGCCAACTAGTCTCCCCCAGTCCCATACACTGAATCTGACTTGGCAGTCGAGGACAGGGAATAAAAGGAACAACCTGCCTCCCTAGGGAGCTGAAATAATAGCCACCCAGCTCTAAACAAGGGCAAAGCACTGGAGGGCTTAGTGCATTGTCAGTGGAGAGAAGCAAGCGCAGTGCTGCCCTACATCTGTCCCTAGCCAAGATGAAGATGTGTGAAGCCCTGCAGGCTCCCAGACTGGAGCCTACACATTCTGTGTGACATTAAGCAAACAGAGGCCCCAGCATCTGGCATAGCTGGGACTACAGCCACCCATCTGAAAAT